GGCATCGGGTGGACGACCTAGGGGTGAGGGCCATGGCGGAGGCTGTGGAGGAGGAGCCGGAAGGAGGCCGCTGGGAGCCTGGCGGGGGCTGCCTGGCCCCTTAGCCGCTGCTGAGGCCCCTGGGTCCTTCCTCAGAGCTACGGGGCGGAGGACCATCAGGGCCTGGAGATCCCCGGAGAGGAGCTGCCGGGCGTGCTCTCAGCCCGGGCCTTTGTGGGCTGGTACAATGGGCTTCCTGAGAACCGGGAGGTGAGTTTGGGGAGCGCTCCCCCGGCCTCTTCCTCCCCACTCCTCCACAGGGCCCAGGGGCAACTCTTGGCTGCCAGCTGCCGCAGCTCGGGGAAGAGGGAGCCACAGGCCTGGGAAGCGCGCAGTGAGACGAGATGTTAAACATCAGACTGGCCGAGGGGCGAGGCCTCTGGGAAGAGGGGGCGCCGGGTCGGGGTGGAGGGACCTTAGCTGAAGCTCAGGGCGGGTGGACTTTCCGAGAGTAGGGGAGACAGGGTGCGGCCGGGGACTGGGCGTGAGGCTGAGGTTAGCCTGACTGGGGCCGAGGTTAGGGTACCCCTATCCAGACCTTTGTCCTCCAGCTGGCGCTGGATCTGAGCTGTGACACGGCCGTGGTTCTGGGGCAGGGGAATGTGGCTCTGGATGTGGCCCGGATCCTGCTGACGCCACCTGAGCACCTGGAGGTGAGTGGGTAGGTCAAGGGCCGGAGGGGTGGAGGGGGGGTCACACCAAGGAGAGGGTGCCCCTGCCTACAGGGTTTGGGCCTCGTGACTCCACGCTGAGCCTCTGTTTCCCCTCGGTGCTGGGCAGAGGCTTCTAGAAGGCAGCCCTTGAGCTTCGTCTCATACCATTTCCCCCTTCACTTTCTGCAGCTACATAGGCTTTTTTTTTTTTTTTTTGTTTTCTTTTTATAGATATTAAAACCACATGAACAGCACCTTCTAACATACTGTATAACATACTTATATATTTTGAGTATGGTCTGTCTCCCATCACTAGAATATAAGCTGCATATCACAGGGCATTTTGTCTATTTTTTTCAGTGCTGTAGCCCCACCGCCTAGCACCTGCCCTTATTGATCAGTTCCAGAGGCTTCGTTGGTTGCCCCAGCCAGACACAGGACCCTCAGCGTGGTCTCAGGGCTGCAGCCCCAGGTGCTCTGATCTGTGGCGATGTACGTGTGCCAACTGTAAGCTCCCTGCTGCAAAGCACCTTGTTTGATCCAGCTTTCTTTTTGCAATAGCATCTAGCGTGGGACAGGTCTCAAAGGGTCCCCTGCATCGGCAGGCGGACTCTCAACCACTGCGCCACCAGGGAAGGCCCCATAGGCTTAAAAAAAAAAAGTTTTCAGTATACACACACCATTCCTCTTGCTCAGAACCCTCTCAGCTCCCCTCCTGCCCGTTAACCTGTTTGCATCTTTTAGTTCTTGGTTCAGTTCTCGCTTCCTCCAGGAAGCCTCCATGGACCTGAATAGGTCCATTTCCCTGTAATACTCTCCTTCCATAGACTTGGCTGCTTCTGTTTCAAAGCATGTTGTCACCACTGCAATTTTATACTTTCTACTAAGTATTCGATAAGTCTCTCTCTCCACCAGATCAGAAGCTCTGTGAAGGCCAGTACCACGTCTCTCTTGCTCACCATTAACAACCCCCCATCCATGCCCTTTGCACAGTGTCTGGCACGTGGTAAACACTCAGTAAACACTTGTTGAATGAAGAGCGTGGGCCTGGTTTGCTACTAATTGGAGCCATTCGCAGAATTGGCAGCAGTGCTCCATCCGGCCACCGGGGGGATGGGCAGTGGTGCCGTTTCAGGCTGCCAACCTTCTCACCGCCCAGCCAATGGAGAGGTTCCCTTCTGCTGTCAGTGTCCAACGACTTTAAGGTCCTCCTTTTGTGCCAGAAAACGGATATCACGGAGGCTGCCCTGGCGGCACTGAGACAGAGTCAGGTGAAGACGGTGTGGATAGTGGGCCGACGTGGACCCCTGCAAGTGGCCTTCACCATTAAGGTGCTGGGGCCTGAGGGAGAGGGGCCAGGGTCCCAAGTAGATGGTCTGCTCCTTGGGGGGTGTGGCAGGGCAGAGCTGCCTGGGGTGGAAGAGGGAGAGCCAGGCAGGGCCCCCCCTGGGGCCCACTGCCTTCCGTGCTGGTGGGAGCTGGTGGTGTCTCCCACCTGGGCTGGGCTCTGGGGTGGGCTCAGGAGTGGACAGCGCTCTGGGCCTGACACCTCCCCCACTCCCCGCCCACACCGCCAAGGAGCTTCGGGAGATGATTCAGTTACCAGGAACTCGGCCCATTTTGGATCCTGCGGATTTCTTGGGCCTTCAGGACAGAATCAAGGGTGAGGGGCCCTGGCCCGGCCCCCCCGGCTCACTAGGGAGGGGATGGCCTAAGTCAGAGAGGGCTCGGGAGAGGGCATTAGGGGAGAGGGCTGTAACCCGGACACTGCCCTGAGATGCTCTGTGTTGCTAACAGAGGCCCCTCGCCCGAGGAAGCGGCTGATGGAACTACTGCTTCGAGCAGCCACGGAGGAGCCAGGGCTGGCGGAGGCTGCCCGCTGGGCATCGGCCTCCCGCGCCTGGGGCCTCCGCTTTTTCCGAAGCCCTCAGCAGGTGCTGCCCTCGCCAGGTGGGCGGCGAGCGGCAGGCATTCGCCTGGCAGTCACCAGACTGGAGGTGAGTCTCCTGTTACCCAAAGACACCCCCATTCTCAAATCTCCCCAGCCCCAGCCTGGTGTTTCCCACCCTCTCCCCACAGGGTGTTGGTGAGGCCACCCGGGCAGTGCCCACTGGAGACGTGGAGGACCTCCCCTGTGGGCTGGTGCTGAGCAGCATTGGGTATAAGAGCCGCCCCATCGACCACAGTGTGCCCTTTGACCCCAAACTCGGGGTCATCCCCAATATGGAGGGCCGGGTTGTGGATGTACCAGGTGAGAAGGTGCAGTGGGGGACAGGGAGGCTGGTGTCTCCCGGGGCCATTCACATTCATTCATTCATCTGGTGACATGCATTGAGAACCTGCTCTGATCCAGGCCCTGTCCCAAGACCCTGGCCCTGCCCCAGCCTCCTCCTGGCCCTAGAGGAAGCTCCCAGTCTAGCTGAGATGCCCACACATATGTCTGGTTATTAAGTCATTCAGTTTACTGAGGCCTGCTCTGGGCTAGGCCTAGAGCTGGGACTGGAGATGAAGCAGCAGCCCCTTGGCCTCAGGGAGCTTCCAGCCTGATTTAATATCCACATACCTGTCTAGTCGTTAATTCGTTCAGTGTTTACTGAGAGCCTGTTGAAACAAGGTGGGCAGGACCCAGCTCCTACAGGGAGCTCCTGGTCTACAGGGACACTGAGGTGTAAGGGGGATGGCATGGTAAATACAGGTTGGGAAGCATTGAGGGCAGTGGGCCAGCGGCCAGAGTGGGCCCAGCTGATGGATGCTGGGAGGCCGTGGGGTGTATGGAGGCGTGTGCACATGTGTGTATACTGAGGCCCAGGCTTGCCAGGGGTGTCCAGCCAACTCCCCATTCCTTACCCCTTTGTTACCCCTCTCCAAGGCCTCTACTGCAGCGGCTGGGTGAAGCGGGGGCCCACAGGTGTCATCACCACTACCATGACTGACAGCTTCGTCACCGGCCAGATTCTGCTGCAGGACCTGAAAGCGGGGCTGCTGCCGTCTGGCCCCAGGCCTGGCTATGCGGCCATCAAGGCCCTGCTCGGCAGCCGAGGTCTGGGCCCCGTGTGAGCTCCTGGGAGGTGGGGTGGGGGGGGTCCCTGGGCCTTTCACTGTTTGGAAGGGGGCTGCTCTGGGCTGGGGTAGAGGAGGAGGTGAAAGCAGTGACCCGTCTTCCCTCTGCCGCAGGGGTCTGGCCTGTTTCTTTCTCGGACTGGGAGAAGCTGGATGCTGAGGAGGTGTCCCGGGGCCAGGGTGCGGGGAAGCCCAGGGAGAAGCTGCTGGATCCTCAGGAGATGCTGCGGCTGCTGGGACGCTGAGACCAGATCCCAGGCAGGCACAGAGGGGAGGAGTGCTGTGCGGGGGAGAGGGATCGGGGTCAGTCTGAGCAGGACTCTGCACCACAGCTGCATCGCCTGGCCGTCCTGGCATGGGGCCTTGGCTGCTCCTTTTCCAGGGGCCTCTGAGCATTTCCTCATGCCAGAAAGTCGCTCTTGTCACTGTGGGTAACTCTCAGCAAGGAGATAACCTTAGTTAGGGATGGGTGCAGGTGTAGGCTGACCTCCCTCCCTCCTGCCTATCTCCTGCTGGACTTTGGAGGGTCACCAGGTCAGAAATATGCTGGAAATAAAACACCTGCAACCGAGGGACAGTGGTTGATGTGCGACTTCTTCTGGGGCCCGGGGTCACCTTCCAGCTGCAGCTCCCCTCTAGTCACCAGGTGGCGCTGCAGAGCCAGCTCCCTGTTCAGAGGCCTCTTGGGGGCTTGAGGGGTTTTGGCAGCCAGTGCTGGCACCCACCATCTTTTTCTCAGCTTGGCCCTGCTGCGGCAGCCTACCTGCCTTCTGCCCACACGGCAGGCACCTTGCCTGCTCTGCTGGCCCTACTGCTGGGTCCCCTCCCTGGTTAGTCCCCAGTACAACCCAAACAAGAAAAGAGAACAAGAGAGAGCTGGGCAGCAGCTTGCCCCATCTACTCCCTGTGGCCCCTCTGTCTGGTGCGGGTCCCCCACTCTGTTCTTCCCGCCATTGTTGGTTTCCAGCCAGACTGACAAGACTTTAAAAAGTAGTACCTCAATGTCCGTAGCCTGTTCACCATCTTTTACACCAGGCCCCAAGATGCTGGCCTCACTTTATAGACAGGGGGATTCTCGGAATTAACCGGCCCAAGGTCACACACCCAGTGAGCTTCGGGCTCGAGCCCAGGGTTCCGGGCAGCCTGTTTTCTCCGAGGTTGCACTTGGCCCCGAGTGTCCTGTCAGGTCTGGGGACACAGTCGTGGAGAGGGGAGAAGGGACGCGAGGGCGGGCAACAAGAGTCCTAGAGCAGCACGGGAGCGGGCGGCGGGGTGGGCCGGCCGAGGCGGGCCGGGGCGGGGCGGAGGCTGCGGGCCCCGGTGGGGTGGGCCCGCGCGGGTGGCGGCGGCGGCAAGCGCTCCGCCACAGCCGGTTGGCGAGCCCTGGAAGCCTGGGCGCGGCGCGCTGCCCAGCCCGGGACGGAGCCGGGCGCCGAGCGGGCCACTAGAGGGGCGCGGGGGGCGGGCCCGGTCCAGCGCGCCAGGCCGCGCCACGGGCACCGGCCCCGCGGCGCCCTAGCTCAGGCGCCCGCCGGTGTAGGACAGCACGCGCCAGCGCGCTGAACCGAGGCGCGGGGACATGCAGCGCGCGGGAGGCGGCCGGCGCGGGCTCTGGGCGCGGGCGCAGCGCCCCTTCCCCCCGGTGAGTGGCGGGCGCCGAGCCGGGGGCGCCAACTTCGCCGCCAACTTGGGGCTGGGCTCAGGCGCCGCGCGGGCAAGGACAGCGGAGACAGATGGCGCGGCACCGGGGAGAGTCTGGTGGACGCAGGGAACCCCAGGAAGGGGGCGCCGGGGGACCGGGCCCCTCGGGGACCGGGCCTGGGGTTTGGACCCGGGCGGGCGGAGAGGAGGTGAGGAAGAGAGGCCGAGGTGACAGGCGCGCGGCGGGCGCGAGGGAAGGGCGCGGGCGAGGCGCCCAAGACGTTCGTCTCCTGGGTCGCTGAGCCCTCCAGCTCTTTCGCCCGGCACCGCGGCACCGCAGGGGAGGGTGCGGTGTGGGGACGTGGGAGTCTGGGCTGCGGGCCCCACAACTGTTGCTGCTGGAAGCCGGGCGGGGGCTGGGGAGCGGGGCTGGGGAGCGGGGCTAGGAGCTGGGGCCGTGGCTGGGTTCGGCCAGAGCGGAGGGGGCTGGAGAGGGCACGGAGCAGAGAGGACGAAAGGGGGCTGTCGGTGGCTCCAGGAGCCCGGCCCCCTGCTCCCGGAGGTCTGCTGAGCACCCACCGCGCGCATCTGCCTTCACACTCCCGCCCCTTCACCGGCTGTAAGTCCCCCAGGTCCTCCCCTCCCAGCTCTTCCTTTGGTAGAGCGCTCCCTCCTCTGACCTCAGGAAATCAGCGTGGGCTTCACCGGGTGGTGGACTCTTCCCGAATGCTGACCCCGCGCCCGGCGGACCCTGGCTCCGAGGAGGGGAAAGGAAGGATGGGCGAAGAGGACCTGGGAGAGCCGAGAGCCCGGGTGCGCTGGGCCCTGGCTGCCCCACCAGCGTGTTGCTCTGGTCCCCCGGGGCTTCGACCAGGATCCCCGACGGCGGGGAAGGGGAGCCACTGAGCCTCCTGCGGCAGAAGGCGGTTCGTGCCAGGCCTGGGTGGGCAGGGCCAGGGCCAAACGAAGGCAAAAGCACCCAGTGACCAGAAAATCGCCAAGGGTGCGTCCCACGACCCATCCCAAGGTCCTGCTGGGTGAGCGAAGGGGGAATTCCCGCGGGGCCCTGACGCTCACGCCACTTGTCCTACTGCTCACCCGTCGGGACTTCGGGCTCAGTCCCCAGCCCTCTGACAGTGGCACCACCCTGGCTCGATCCGACCCGGGCTATGGAGAAACTGAGGAAAGGAACTTGGGCGGGGGGAGCTCGTCTGCTCAATCTCAGAGCCCGTCTAGTTTCTGGCTGCGCCAGTCCGTTTCCAACCTGCTCCTAAACCCCGTTAGGAATTCGAAGAGGAACGTGAAGGGGACGGGGTAGGTCGGGAACCGGACTCCTGGGTTCGCCCTAGGGCAAGGCTGGGCTGGTACCCGCCTACAGCCCCGCCTGCCAGGCGAACTCGGCGCCCCCCACCCGCGGGGCTTGGGGTAGCGACCCAGCTTGGGGCAGTGGGGATGGGGGCCTGAGAGCCGGGACCCCCGCAGAGGGTAGCAGCGAGGCGGGGGGCGCGGAGTGCGTGGTGCCCAGTTTGGCCGCCAGGAGGCGTGGCGCGGGTCCCCGCGCCCGGAGTTGCCGCCGCTGCTGCCGCCGCATCGCGAGTGTCCTTGAGCCGCGGGTGACGGTGGCCCTCGCCGCTCGCGCCCCCTCCTCCCGCGGGGGGAGCCCGATGCCACGTTCCCTATGAATTATTTATCGCTGGCCTAAAAATACCCAGAACTTCACAGCCCGAGTGTAAGAGATTCCCCCCGGGGGTTCCGGGAGGAATCAGCTGCGGGGGGG